CAATTCTTTTCATTCCTAAATATTAAATACGTCACAATCAGTGTATCACAATTCTTTTCATTCCTAAATATTAAATACGTCACAATCAGTGTATCACAATTCTTTTCATTCCTAAATATTACATAAGTCACAATCAGTGTATCACAATTCTTTTCAATCCTAAATATTACATAAGTCACAATCAGTGTATCACAATTCTTTTCATTTCTAAGTATTAAATACGTCACAATCAGTGTACCACAATTCTTTTCAATCCTAAATATTAAATACGTCACAATCAGTGTATCACAATTCTTTTCATTCCTAAATATTAAATACGTCACAATCAGTGTATCACAATTATTTTCATTCCTAAATATTAAATACGTCACAATTCTTTTCATTCCTAAATATTACATAAGTCACAATCAGCGTATCACAATTCTTTTCAATCCTAAATATTACATACGTTACAATCAGTGTATCACAATTCTTTTCATTCCTAAATATTACATACGTCACAATCAGTGTATCACAGTTGTTTTCATTCCTAAATATTACATACGTCAAAATCAGTGTATCACAATTATTTTCATTCCTAAATATTACATACGTCACAATCAGTGTATTTCAATTCTTTTCATTTCTAAGTATTAAATACGTCACAATCAGTGTATCACAATTCTTTTCATTCCTAAATATTAAATACGTCACAATCAGTGTATCACAATTCTTTTCATTCCTAAATATTAAATACGTCACAATCAGTGTATCACAATTCTTTTCATTCCTAAATATTAAATACGTCACAATCAGTGTATCACAATTATTTTCAATCCTAAATATTAAATACGTCACAATCAGTGTATCACAATTCTTTTCATTCCTAAATATTACATACGTCACAATCAGTGTGGGCCTTCAGTATTCCATCTGTCTAATTTTTTTGGTTCATATCAGTCACTCACTTCAGTGTTGACAAACATACTTGCGACTCTTTAAGAAATGCCCACTGAAACTAAATACTGGTCGTATTTCTTTGAAATAATATTAAGCTAATAACGTATTTTCACCTTTATCTGTCTATATATATATACGGTTTTAAGATAGCTTTGTCCTGTTGTTCATGTACGTAGCTGTTGTAAATGATGTGATGTAGTAAATGTACAGCTTTTGCCGAGTGTTTGAAGTTATATGTTTTATATATACTGAAATGTACAAGTAGACTTACAGTCTCCTTCCTAAGTAAGTTGGGATTTTCTGATTTGACCTAGCACCACTAATAATCAGCCCATCACTACCACAGAGGTTAAGTATGTTATATTAAACCGATTTTGGAGTATCACCATTATATTACAGTTGTTAGCAATAGTTCTACGGAGTAGTTTCCAGTGATAATAACTCAATCATAAGGTTGTGATGTCTAAAGCACACCCCTACACTCTGCATGCTTTTCAAAAGCCATTTAGTGTACGACAACGATAGTTTCTCAGTGTCCACTTCAAAAGTTCAGTTACATAGAAATCCATAGGCATTGCATCGTGTGACTCGCCCAGTATATCATTGTATGGAATACCATGAATAATAATTTCATTTTCCAGCTACTTTAGTTGAACAGGTGCATTATGGAAGCACATGGAGATCCTTCTTGATTATATTGTGTACAGTTGCCTGGAACAGCTTTTGCCATTGACATTTAAGTTCGTAAATTCTCACCTGGTAGAAGACACTGTACACTTAACATAATGGTTGGGTTAAAAGTTGTTGTAGTCTCTTTTTGGATAAGCCTGGTGTCGCAAGGTGATATATATTCCTTTGTTTTTCAATGCCATTAAGTACAACAGATATTCCTATCTTGGAAATTATAAACCCCCAATGTGAATATACCGTTATGACCAAAGTGTATGAATATTTAGCATTGGAAAGGATCGTTATATATCATTCCCAAATGTGATCAGTTTTCAGTGGCATCATATTACCTACAAAATACCAATGTCAAAACGTAGTTTTAATACATTCCATTCCACCACGACATTATACTGACTGTGATTGGCTTGTGACCTATTTATAGTTACTGTTTCCAATGGTTTAATTTTATTGATGAAATTATCCCTCATTACAATGTCTCTGAATACATCCATACTTTACATTTTTAAGCAAAATGGTTCCCATGTATCCACTGTGTCTGTTCATTTGCAAATAATTAAACAGATGTTCTATACGGAAGCTACGTGTCTCAGCCATAGATGTATGAAAAATATTAACATTATGGCGTCTTCTTTTGTACCCTTGATATTATTGATACAAGATTAGAAATGTTTAAGTGTGATGCACGTGTACTTCTTATGACTGCATACTTCATTTGTACTTGTAGCAAATATTTGTGTCTACTTTTCAGACTACTATGGCTGTGTTGACGAGTTCAAATACAGTGAATGTTTGTTTGTTTGTTTTTGAATTTCGCGCAAAGCTACACGAGGGCTATCTGCGCTAGCCGTCCCTAATTTAGCAGTGGAAGACTAGAGGGAAGGCAGCTAGTCATCACCACCCACCGCCGACTCTTGGGCTACTCTTTT